AGCCTGGCCTGCGCTGTCACCTGCTGCAACTTCACAAGGGCTTGCTTGGCGGCGGGGGATAGGAAGGCGTCAAGTGAATATAGATCACTTTTCGGAGACTCGGGTACAGAAGCAGAGCTAAATACAAACGTCTGCATGTGATGCTGGCTAACAAGATTCACAGTGTTTGCGCTTTGCGTTTGGGAATACTGAGGACTTCACACCCCCCTGCTCTGCTTGCGATCCCCTGGAGCTCCGTGATGCAGGCCACCTGCAGTCCCTTAAAATCCCTTTGCTGTAGCGTGAGAGCAAAAGGAGCCGAGTCAAAACTCTGTTATTGTACTTCCCCTCTGCTCTGTAACTGAGATATCACTTTTTTTTTTATTTCTTCTTTTTTTCTTTTTTTAGGTTATATGTGAAAAGCTAGGGATGTAGCTCTCCCCAGTGATTAGACTAGCACCGGCCTGTTAATTTACAACCAGTGAAGTTTCACCACTTAGTGAAAGCTTATCTTAGTTGTGGTTACAGCTGGCATCAGGATCTGCAAAATTGAATTACAAGGCAGAGATTCTAATGTTAGTTCCCTTTTTTCCCCTGCCAAATTGTATTTTCTCTGCAACAGATGAATTTGTTTGCTACAAGTCCTTCAAATTCATCTTTCAATAAGAAAAGCGTCACAGATGTTGCACAGAATAAGTTATACTTCCAGCTCGTTTTTCTGAAGCTGCTTAAGATTCTCTGCAAACTTTTACACAGTGTGTATGTGAACTTGAATGTGCAGACGAAACAGCTATTGAACAATTCAATACACGTTCACCAGTTTAAAAGCAGACAATTTTTTTTATTTCAACATAATGTTCATAATCCAGGCTAGAAGGAGGAGCTGTGTCTTGTAGTTCTGTTTCCTACTGTCTTTTGTCAGGAGCAGTAGGGTTATAATAGTCTAGCCGTGTCATTGGATCTCTGATCTAAAACTGCTTGAATAAAGTTTATTTTATACAATTCTTAAATGCTAGTGTACGTAAATGGGAAGCTCAGCTTTGCAGATTTCGTTTGATGCTTTTTATCAGTTGCTGAGGATGTTCTGTAAGCCATTGCATGAGCCTCACAATTCAGACTAGATAGATCTGGAAAACAGCAATATAATTTTTGCGAAGTGTTGTTTTCCTTTACCTTATCAAAAATGCAATTCTGGCTGAAATTTCCTAGCTTTCAACAGTTAACTCTCCAAAAGTAATTTTTGAAACTTGAAGCTTCTCCATGACACAAAATGTTTTCTTTGTGTTATTCAAATAAAACCACAGAAGTTATATCAAGAGTTGTCCAAAACTGCATTCAAGCAGTATTACAAGAATGTGTTAATTCTGTTACTTTTGACTACAGTTTGTTCTTCAGGTTCCTGTAAAAAGTATTTGAAACAATGTATTTTAACCTGTAATTTTTATTCCAATTTTTCATCACAATACTTGCATCTTCTTGTCAAATTACAGAGTAAAATGATCTCTTCGTCTCCGCTATAGTCAGATGCAAAAGAAAGCCTCTTTGTATACTTAAAGGCTTAATCCATCACTTGCCCATCATACTTTTTGTCTAGATCTATCTTTAGGTTAGTGTCAATTAAATAATTTTATCAGTCATTCCTACAATTGATGTTCTCTTTAAAAAACCTTGTCAAGAATGCTATTAGTCTTTTTTTATTCCTTAGGAATTTAAAATCTCACTGCTCAGATAGAAGAATTAGAATTAGTCTGAAGCCTGCCTTTTCTAACTTAGCTTGAAAAATGGCCTTCTCTGTTACTACATGGTTTGTTTTCTTATTGAGATGACCCTTCAATATACTAATTCCTCCATTGATTCATTTGTTGCTTGGTTAATTGTAAAGGCTTAATGCAATTTGCAGTAGCTGTTAGACTATGCCTAGTCCTCACCAGAGGTTCACCATCAGACAAACTCACAATGAAGCTCATCTAAAATTTACTCAAGTCAACAGAAAAATAAGCATTGATAACAAAACTGTCTCTAACGTCTCTAAATTGATACATGAGAGACAGGATTACCATTGACTGTCTCACACAACAACATGTACTCTGTTCTATAATTGTAACTGCATTTCATAATAATTAAAATGAAAACACAGGAGAGAATACTGTTTTCAGCCAGAGTAAAGAGCTTTGAATTTTTAAGGAAATGATAATATGGATTAAACACATGAGAGTATTGAAACATTGGGCTTGGGAAAAAAAAATAATTGCATTTCTGTCACTGGAGATTTAATTTTGAGAACAAGTGGTAAATCCTAAGGATTCTACTATGTGTTTAATGTAAAAATTTCCCTTATATACAATTGATAAGGTAGGATGACCTATTTTATTTTTATTTAACAAAGAACATAAACCATCAAGAATGGCTACTTTGTATAATATTCAGGAAAAACACTGAATAAAACTGGATTTTGCAGTATATTTTGGAAGGGTCTGGAGTTGCGGTGGCTCCCTTCACTGTCAAGCTTACTGAGAGTTAATGAATGAAGCAGAAAAAAGTGTGTCTGCTATTTCTGTGTTGAAGTTATATAGCCAGGTTTGTTTTCAGCAACTCACCAATGAATATTAAAATCAAATATTAAAAACCACTGCATTCACAGAGTGATGTCAATCTGCATGAAAAATGAGTGAGTTTTTTCCCTACTTCCCAGGTAATGTCAAGCATGAACATATCGTTTAAGACCATCCTCAAGTATGTAGACAAAAATCTCTAACATTATATGAGCAATGGCAATGAATTCTAGGCTTGGGAGATAAGTTACCAGAAAAATTTGTCTCCCATACACCGGAGTAATTCCAGTAAGACACTGACATTACAGAAAGTAAATGCTTTATCGGGGGAGTGTCATCATCCAGCTAACTAGAAGTGATTCTTTGCAGAAGTTTGAAGATATCTATCTTCAAATCTAATTCAATATTTACCAGGAGACCACTAACATGCAGTGAAACCAGTAACTTGTGTTCCTGTTTTTTCTGCATTGGAAACAATTTTAGATTTTTGAGATCAGTGTTTTATCCCTGAATGCAGAGATTTACCATAACTGAGCATGGAGATCACAAATGCAAGGCTTTCTGTGACTAAATATAATTCTGAGTGGGAAAGGCACAAGTTTCTTTCCAACAGAGTATGGACACTGACAGATCTGAGTATCCAGAAGCAGTGAGGCATTCCAGTTGCCAACAGGCTGTGAATTGCTTCACTGATCTAAACATTTAATGCTATTTTGGTGGTAAATGAGGACACTGTCACAGAGCTGAAAAGTTATTTAGAGTTCTTCTTTCTGTTCAACAGCATTACCCCACCCTTCAATATTTGCATCTCATTGTTAATCTAAGCAGAGATAAGTTAAAGATGACACTGTTTGCATTTATCGGAAAATGACGTAGAACTTCAATATGAAACTAGCATTTTGAAAGTAGTTTGCTCTTTAAGTCTTCAAGAAACCTCTTGATTATTTTTCCCTCATATGTATAGAACTTGTTTCTTCTTTAACAGATGTAGAACAGAGAACATGGGGTTTTTTCAAAAAAAAAAAAGTAGTAATGAGAGAAGAGTCATTTTCTTCATCCTTCCAAAGCCTTTGCTATTGTTTTCTTCCCATTTTCCAATTTTGTAATTTCTGTAAAATGTAGGCAATTTTCACTGAGTGAATCTTTTGCCCATTTTACCACCTGCAGCTCAATGTCAAATAGAACTAAATATTATAGATACCTTCTGAATGAAGGGCTATTTTCTGTTCTGAATTACACGGATATCAACTAATAATTTCCTGTTGTATATCAATCAGTGTGCTACCAGAGCTATTATTCACACAACATATATAATTGCAACAAAACTGTAACTACCACATGTTGGATCATCTTATATCTTTTAAAAATGATTTTTGGTTCAAGAAGCACATTGATTTTAGACTAATTGTGTATCAGAAAAGAAACAACAGAACAAAAACTTCAGAGAAAAATTCTGAAAGTTAATTACTATAAACATCAATAATATTGTGAGAAATGATAAAAAGACACTTAGTCTTGATTCCTGCTTCATGAAACTTACAGGAGAATAATGTATCTGTCCCATTTGGTTAAACTTAGCCAATAGGTTCAAATCTATCAAGGACAGGTTTTTAGCCAGCACAATCACAAAAGCTTCATATCCTGAAGAAGTCAGACTAAACCAGAGGCTCTCTTGATGAGGGTTTATCTGAGAAAAACACTGAGAATTTGAAAAATTCTAAGAAATACCATTTGCAAGGGTTTCCAGTTCTGATAGTAGTGGATCAATACAGATTGCACACCATAGTGCCGTTTCTAGTCTTACGCCTCCCCAGACCACTGCTGTTTGGGCGAAGTGCCTATATGC